GCCCCCGCCCCGCCCGCGGGGTCACGTGCCGGGTGTCGGGGCCGCGGCGGCGCAGCCCTGCCGGGAGCCCTTCCCCAGGCCCCGCACGGGGAGGCTGCGAGGGAGAGCCGGGACCGTCGGCAGAGCCTCCCGGTCCCTCCTGCCCGGCCAGGCCCCCTTCCGCGGAGCCGTGTCCCTGCAGGAGGTGGCGCTCCGAAGCCGGTGCGGAGCGAGGTGCGCGCAGAGTGCCGGACCGGGCCCGGACTTAGGCTGGACTCGATGGCCCCGGAGGTCTTTTCCAACCGCATTGATTCTGTGGTTCTGTGAGTAGGGGGTTTCGTTGTGCTGGGCAGTAAAATAGGTCAGGAGCATTGGCCGTGGCGGCGTCAGGCGTGGCGGAATTGCCTGGCCGAGCGGGCGCAGCGCTCCGATTGCCGGGCCGAGGTGCTGTAATGTGGCTTCGTCCCTGCGGATGTCACCGCTGGCCCGGCCGGGCGCCGTCACTGCCGGGCGCTCACGGGTGCGCAGCGCCCAGACAGAAGGAACCAAGTGCTCCTAGTGGAAGTGCTGGTGTTTCTTTTTGCTTGGCGGCCTCGGCTCAAGTGTTTGCATTGTATCCCTTAGGAATGTTGAAAGGGGACGTGAAACGTGGAAACGGGTCCCGCTTTTGGCGCGGTACACGTTGCCGCCACTGAGGAATTGTTGTTAAAAACATTAACTAAATGCCAGGTTTTTGTACGAACAAGACAATCGGAATGGTGAAATAGTTAAACTGAAACTGTGGGGGTTTCATCTTAGTACAGCTTTTCAATGATATGTCTGAGAAACGCTGTAGGTTTCCTTACTGGTATGTAATATGCAGTTACATATTAACAATTACAAGGAGGAGTATGGAGCTGAGCTTTAAAACGTTTTGCTTCTGTCAGCTTTGTAATATGAAAAATGCAATCCTTCTTGCTTTGTTAGCTGCTGCCTCTGGACCGTGGGCTACTTAAAAATAGATTCTGAAGCATCTCTAAAAATGCAGTACCAAAAATTACGGTGTGTAATAGTATTGAAGACACGGTGAAATCTGAATCTTCGTTTGGTAATTTTTAATAAATCTTAATTATTGAATGTTTTTGCAAGAACTTGCTTTATGGTCTTGTGTGGTTAATACTGTAGTTTCTTTCCAAGTCTATTGAAGTGCCAGTTGTTTAAATTGCTATAATACAAAATCTGTAGTGAGTGAAAGAGAAAGTTTGTTCTTGTTTCCTTCAAAATGTATTGCATCAATTTAGATGTAATTGAATTGTCATTTATTTAAAGAGCTGGAACTGCAGTATGTTTATGGCCTATTGAATAATGAGCCCCTGGAAAAGTCCTCATAGAAAATGATTTTTTTTTTCTCTTTTCTGTGTATATTAATGAAGTCTGTATATATATATATATATATATGTGTATATCCAAAGATATGTCCCTGTACTTATTTGAGTTTCTGGAGCATTGGTAACTTAAGATGAACCAGTTTCTGCTTCATTTTTTGCACACTTTTGTTTTTGAGTGAGAAATTAACATTTTTCTTTGTTCAATAGATTGAAATAGGATATATGCTCAAAATTCAACATCAGTGCTCCAATTGTAGCATAGGAAACAACCTCATTTTCAATACGTGTAGTATTTAATACTGAAATGGCTGACTGCTCTACACTTGACTATTCTCCTGTGATTCAGTTCCAAGTATACAAATAAGTGTTGAGGGTTTATTAATATGCCATAGCCAATAATAAGGAATGACAAGCAGCTTGAAGCCTCATCACAATCAGCAATTCCTGAGGATATTCTAAGTTTAAGAAACAGATACAAAAAAGTAGGCAAGCACAGAAAACAGTGAAGTTATTTATCTGTTGTGGTATCCAGTGCCAGGGACAGATTTAAACATCTGATAAGACTCAGTACCTTGAGCTGGTAGTGTATTGACAGTAGCAGACCGTCAGATAGGAGAGTGATTTTTCCTGTTAAATGAAACAACCACCTTCTTTCTTCACACACTGTCTGGATCATGGTTACTTGTGGGGAAGGACAGCATTTAAGGATCTTTTTCTCCTCCTACCCCCCAACAGAGTTACAAATTAGGGACCTGCATGGAAAAAAAATACAAGTATTTAATAACAGAAGAGCATTTACTCTTGTGAATTAATACTGTAACTCCACTGAGTTTTCAAGAGGGGGAATGATGAATTTGTGATAGCTATTTTAAAATAATCTGTATTGCAGTATTCCTAGATTTGTCATTTGAAGTAGGACTCATGTAATAGTCTTTGGCTGGCGTTTGTTGAATTCACCAGTGTTGCACTTGTGTGCTTTTAAAAAGCTAAGATTTTCCTTACAGAGGAAGCTTAAGACTGTAGGTAGCTCTTCAATAGGAGCTGTCTTCCTAAATATGTATGCTTCTGGTTTTGGTTTGGGTGGGTTATTTGTTTGTTTGTTTGACTGATTGTTGGGAGCTTTTTGTAATTGTTGCTGTTTTTTTCCCCAAATGAATAAGAGTAGAAAATTATGCTGGGCCTCATAATTTTCTGGGTCTCATAATTTAATGAGCACAACTGACTGAACTGATAAGAAATTATTTTCATTCCATCTTGGCCTAGTAAAAGCTTAACATTGTTCTTCAGGAGAACCTGAAGTCATTTTGGGAGATAGGTCTGGTAGGAAGTCCACCACTTCAAATTCTTAAAGCATGGAAGAAGTGGACGTGACTTCTCCCAGTAAGCATCCTGAGAGACTTTCAAGGGGACAAAGAGAACAGTTCCATGCTGGCTGAGCCTCTGTTTGGATGGGGATGGTCCTGATCAGTGACATTGTCCTTCTGTCTGTTGCATTTCTAAAGCTTCGAAATCAGTATGTGATAGGATGCAGGGGTTTAGGAAGGGAGACCTGCAGGTTGCTGCAGATAGCATAACTCCTCATACTACAGGAAAAACAGAATATTAATTGTGAAGTATAGAACACAGCCCTTACCCAGATGACTTCAAAGGAGGAGTCATCATCCAAGAAGGGATATGTATGTAGCCATAAGTGTTTGTCAGTCCTTTCAGTAGAATTTTCAAGACTGGCTTATTAAATAAGTAGCAATGTCATGAAACGTAGAGGTTACCTGATGTCAGTGTGTGAACTAGTTCTTTTCAAGAGCTTTGCAGCAGTTGTAAAGTTGCCTTATCACAATCCTGTAATTATGCCTTCCTTGGATTCTTCTAGATATAATTACATATCTTGAATACATGTATGCATTTTTATTTCCTAATAAATCCTCCAGAATTGACCCCGCCTTTTTCTGCCATCTCCACATAGCATTTGGTTTTATGATGTGCTACCTCTAGTAGTGGATTATGAGAGGGAGTAGATAAAAGGCTTCAGGTGATACCTATTGAAGTAACAGAAAGCCAGCTCCCAAGATGAAGGACTGAATACCACACCCAGAGCATCAAGCTTGTTGCAGCTGTCTCTTTGATCATAGAAAACATAGTATCTTGTCTCAGTGGATTAGCAGAGCCACCATTCTAACGCGATTGCCGCTCTTGGTTTCAGATTGATGTGTGAAGAAAGGAAAGCTGCTAGAACTATGAGGGGAGAAAAGGTGTGGATAGGCTTGTCAATTTTTCCTTTGGAGCTCATTCTAAAAATAGCTGTACAGAATACTACATGGAGCTCAACTATAAAGAAAATAACATATTTTATTAATGCTTCATGCACTGAAGTGATCTAAACACTGATATTATTAATGATAAATGTTTGATCATTTGATGAAGGGCTGTAGCACAGAACACTATAATGCTCCATGTTCGTTCAGAGTCTTACCACTCCTTGGTTTTACTCGACTCTTACATGTCTGCTCTGCACTGTATTTATGCTGAAATGATTCTTTCCTTGAACAAATTTAAAACAAAGAGGTGACATTCTCAGGTCTACTTCAGATTATTCCTATATATAATGTTTTGCAGCAACTGGAAACGGTAGTTCGAGATGTTTGAGTATCATCCAGAAAGCTACAGACCAGAAGGAAGATTCTGTGGCTCATCAGTCTTTTGACAGAGGATTCACTGACGGTGGTTCCCTTAGATCAAGACCTTCTGTTTAGGTTGTGAGAATGCAAGAGTGTTGGTCTCCCTTCACTTTCTGAGTCTGCAGATTCCTACTTGCCTGCTGTAGGAACTTTTTAGGTATTTGTTTGGCACTTAGTGATTATGATCATTATGTATTTGTGAAATGACTTGGCTAGGATTCTGGTTCACCAGATATATTGCAACTGACATTATCTATTAGCCTGAAGAGGGGTATATTACCTCTGAGTTATGGAGGCTGAGTTGCATCCTTGTCCTCTTTTTTAGAAATCATATGCACTCCATCTGTCATTGAACCTTGGTGCCTATCAGGATATTTTAAAGAAGTAGAGGAAGGTCCTAATTATTATTTGTTGTTGTTTGTTTACCTTGGTAAGTATCAAATATAGGTTGTAGAGTTTGTTTATAAGGTGGTATGAGAACATACAAATGTAGATTTATAAAGAAGAAAGTGCTGAATTGTTCTGAGGTTCATTCATGGATGCAATGATCTCTGTAAAAGAGGATGAGGTTTCAAGGCTTTGAGCCTTGAAATATGAAGAGGCAAATTTCTCATTGAAATATGGAGAAGACTGGGGGGAGAGCAGTTGTTCATGTGCACTGCTTTTTCCTCAAGCATCTGATACTAATCTGTGTCAGGACAAGAACATGGTTAGATGGTTCTTTGGAATGGTATGATAGTTTTATAAAAAGCTTTAGAAAGCTATTGTGACTTTCTAAATTTCCTGAATATAAGGGATCATTTATTAGAGGTTAAATTTGCATAAAACTAACATGCTCCTAACTTTGGTCTTGTTTCTCCTTTTGTGTTACTCCTTTTGTGAGGTCACTGTATGAGCAATTAATTGACTATAGTCAAAAAAAAATTGCCTTTTATAACGCTTAAAAAAATACTATTTGTTTAAGCCAGACATCAAAATAAAAACTGTGGATCAAAACTGATGGTTACAAAAAATGACACAGAAGTCTGGTGATAGTTTTATTGAAAGAAACCATGCATCAAGTAAATAAAAGCATAATAATTTCCTTTCTGCTACAGAACCATGGTATTGTATTTTGCTCATTTGTACCTCCAGACAACATTGTAATTGTGGTATTGTTTGCTTTCTGTTAGTTTGCAGAGAAGCTGAAACGCTGTTGTGTACCACTGAGCAGGACAAGTTAGGAATGAGCAAGCCTTGGGAAGGAGGACCTGCCATCCTAGCTGGAGACATCTGAAGAGAGAACATTTCAGTCTTGTGGCATGCTTCAGTAGAAATTATTCAGAAAAAGTAAGCTGTTGTTTTGTTACTGAACTTCAACATGGTCAGCTCCTTGATGGACTGTTTAGTTACAGTTAGAATTTGACCTGGAATTTGAAGTGGTTTTGTTTGAATTTACATTTTCTTCCATTAGCGTGCAAGAAGACCTGGGGTCTTTTTATGTAGCTGTTACACATCACCTCTTCCATACTTCATTTATTGATGATGGCTCCATAGCTTAGAAATTAACTGTATTATTTAATATTAAAAATAAAAACCACAAGAGGTGGGATCTTGCAAGACTTTGGACTAATTCTGTCTCAGTCGGTTTTAGGCTGTATTTATGTTAAAATGCAGAGTTCAGGTTCTTCTTGTTCTCTTATTTATACCTGCATTGAGGATCTAAATACTTAAAATAAAACTGTTTTTAGAATTATTCCTAGAGTTCAGTTAATTTTTAGTCAAGAACATGATTTTAAAGGGAACCAAATCCTCCAAAAAATAGAGCTTTCCTATTTGATAACAGTTCTGATATAAAGCCTGTTTTGATTCAACTTTGTTATAAAATACTACTTTTATTTTCAGGAAAAATACTGTTTGGTCAGTTTTGTTTAATTCTTAATACCATGAAGTTGCAGTGGAAGTGCTTCCACAGCCATAATGTAGCAGAATAGCCATCCAAGATGTTTGTCCTTGGTTCTGAAGGATTACCTCTTCTGTAAAAACCTACGTGTACATCCTCCTACCAGCTTATAAACAAACTCTGTGACCTAGATTTGGTATTAAAAAAGGTAAATTAAAAAAAACAAAAGATTAATTAGCATCATGATTTAAAAACAAAAAGTGAGACAGCATCAGTGTAGTTGATAAAAATCTTCAAATGCATAATTGTCCTGCATTCTGAGCACATGAAACTGCAGCTGTGCTTCTTGTATCAGTTTTATGTTCCTGGGTAGCACTTTTAGAGATAAGGGTTTACTCCTCCAGCTCTACTCATTTTATACATAACATTTTCCTTAGAATCGTTAAAAATCAAATAGGAATTTCAAAAAAACCACATTTACTCCTTTTCATATCCTGCATTATTATCTTGATCTAGTAAGGAGTCAAAGATCCCTCAATGGGAGACCTGTTGAGCACAGTTCAAATGTTAGCATGTTTTGCTTTCAGTGGACAGGTAAGAACTTTTAATTCTTCTTTTAGTTTACCTCAGGGTAAACTCTCTTTAGTTTAGCTCATGGTATCACAATTTAGTTTGTCAAAGTGCATTGCCTTTTTAATCCCTGCATTGCATTTTAATCACCTCCAAAATCTTAATGATGATAGGTGACTTGTATAGAAGTTACTTACCTACAGGTTGTTTTAATCTTTTCTTTGACTCTGAAAAGGATAATTTTATAAAGGATATTCAGGGAGAAGTGTCCTTTTGTAAAACTGTAGCATGGAAGTAAAAATCTCTGCTGCTGTGCTTTTTTGCACTGTACTACTCATTGTGGGGACACTTGAAAATTAAGATCCTTTACCTCAGCCATGGTTAGCACAAATTAATCAATAAATGGATTTCTCTTTCAGCTCTTCTGTTGTGAAATGATGGTTGGGTTGTGTTTGTGGTTATTCTGAAATCTCAATAGACTTTCTTCTCCCCTTTTTCTAATAAGTTTCTTGGTATAAACCACTACCCTTGCTATGAAAATCTGTTGCAAAATACAGCCTCAAAAGTGTGAGGCTTCCAAAAAGCAACTTATTCACAACATTGTTAGAATGGATCTCACAGATGTGTGCTGTGCAGTAAAATCACAATTGCCAGCTGGTAGGTAATGCTGTGTTTGTATCTGGCATGCTGATTCAAGAACTGTTGTGCAGACTGGTCATTAATCTCAGAAAAAGAAATTCAGATACAAAACTGAAACATAGGTGAATACAATTTTGTGCTACTTCAGGAAAAAGTATTTGAGCTGTAGAGCTTATAAAAGAATCACTTGATTAAAAAAGGGATTAAAGAGGCATTGGTCTTTCAAGAGGAAATTTTAGTACTAGAAGGGAACAGACAGCATAGAGAAAAATATTCTAAGTAAACAGCACATGATATATCATTGTAAAGATAAATATAGATACTGAAGCATTTATTTTTTTTTTTATCCCAGATATATTTATAAGATTTTTAAAGCAGTGGAAGCTTTTACAGTAATACTAGGCATTTTCTCTTGAGGTAACAAGTTCTGTTAGAAACGTGTGTAACATTAGAACAGGCTGTCCAGGGAGCCTGTGGTATTTCCATCCTTGCAGGTTTCAAAAAAACTCAGATAGACAAAGCCACAGGTGGTCTAATCTAGTATTGGTGTTGGTGCCATGTGGATCAGGAGACTGGACTAAGTGACCTTTAAAGGTCCCTTTTGGCCTACATGCTTGTGGTAGTTTTGCATGAACTACTCCTAGCTGTCTGTACAACACTGAAAGGCTGTTTTGTTGAATATCAGTCTTGAAGTTTCTTGGGGATTTTAAATTTAAAAAGGCACCTTTTTAGGCCCCATTCTCCTCCCTCATTTAGTATCTGGTATTTGGTTTTGATTGTTAATAAATAAAAGGAAAATACCATGAAACAGACCGTGAAAGATTGCCATGGCAAAAATGTAGTTGAGAAGGCATTTGCATATTTAGGCTAGAATTTTTCAACTACTTAAATCCTACACGATGCCAAAGTGATGCAGTTTTGCATTCCCCATTCTCTTACAGTTATAAAATCACCTTTAAAAACAGAAATAAGATATGGCCAGAGAAAGTGAAGGCAGTTACTTCACAAGCTAGTCAAGTCAGAACTGTGTGTCTTCTGCAATACACTGCTGCTTCTGCTGGTCTGCAGTGATTCCTTTTGAGAGGCACTCCCATATATCAGGGAGTTCACTTGATGTTTAAGAAAAAGGAGTCCAAGGTAGCTTTTGAAAAAGGCCACCTCAGTTTTCAAATCTGGTTCTTTCTGCAGCCTTGTGGTTGTTCGGAGCTCAGTTTGAGGGTGGTGTGCCATGGTGCATGGGGACTAAGAAACAGAGTGAGGGAATTCATCAGCTGGGTGCTGCTGTAGAGGCATATTTTCTGTTGTGTAAACCTAGTCTGAGATACCGTTCAGGCAGTCTCTTAATCAACCAGAGGATCACATGTAGTCTGAAGAGAGATTGTTTAAGTTCAAACTGCAGCAACATCACCTCTTGAGGAAAGAACCATCATTTCTTTGAATTTCCTGAGGAGGCATCAAAGTAACTGGTTGGCTGAAGGTTCATTAATCAACTCTACTTCAGGAAGTGAACAAAGGAAATTCCAAAATTTGTTTTCTAGCTTGGTATGTTAACATGCTGAAAATTAAACAGATAAAAGGTTGGTGATCAGCAAAAGAAAACTTTCCAGTACTCAATGTAGTCTTGTCACTCAGGAAACAGTAACTTACTTTAATTTGAAGTAAACATCTTGTTGTGTGGATGTTGAGGTGAAATGTGATGCAAGGTGCTGGTTTAAGTTGACATAATGAACTGATTTAAATTTCTTTGATCCTCTGCAGGATGGCTGGCTGTGGTGAAATAGATCATTCGATCAACATGCTTCCCACAAATAGAAAGACAAACGAGTCATGTACCAGTGCAGCACCTTCCCTGCAAGTCCCTGAATGTGCTATCTGTCTGCAAACGTGTGTCCATCCAGTAAGTCTGCCCTGTAAACATGTTTTCTGCTATCTGTGTGTAAAGGGAGCTTCTTGGCTTGGGAAACGATGTGCACTCTGCCGGCAGGAGATTCCCGAGGATTTTCTTGACAAGCCAACCTTACTGTCACCTGAAGAACTCAAAGCAGCAAGCAGAGGCAATGGAGAATATGCTTGGTACTATGAAGGTAGAAATGGCTGGTGGCAGTATGATGAACGTACCAGCAGAGAGCTGGAAGATGCCTTTTCCAAGGGTAAAAAGAGCACTGAAATGCTAATTGCTGGTTTTTTATACGTAGCAGACCTTGAAAATATGGTTCAGTATAGGAGAAATGAGCATGGACGTCGCAGAAAAATAAAACGGGACATAATAGATATACCAAAGAAGGGAGTGGCTGGGCTGAGGCTGGACTGTGACACCAACACTGTCAACCTGGCACGAGAAAGCTCTGCTGATGGTGCAGACAGCACACTGACTCCAGGGGCTGCAGCTGTGCAGCCTCTAGCATCCATTTCTGTGAGGCCCCTACCAGCACTAGATGGTCAGCTTGTGAGCCCTTCAACGCCATCACCTGATGCAAGCAATTCTCTAGAGAACTCTTTTGCCCACTTGCAAATAAATGGAGACAGTATGGCTGAAAGGAGTCACAGGGGAGAGGGAGAAGAAGACCATGAATCTTCATCTTCTGGTAGGGTGCCAGCTCCTGACACCTCTGTTGAGGAGACCGAATCAGATGCCAGCAGCGACAGTGAGGATGTGTCTGCCCACCTTCAGCAACGCCCGTCCCCTGGTCAGCAGAGACACTTGAATGCTGGTGCAAGCCAGGCAGGAGCAGATAGACCAGGGACAGGGGGTGGGGTGGCAAACACAAGTGTAAGATCTAGAAGGCCAGATGGACAGTGCACAGTCACTGAAGTTTAAATCTAGAGCCATGCGAAAAAAAAACCATTCAGTTGTAATTTTCTGTAAATTTTCTGTCCAAATTGGCATTGCACTCAAACCTAGCAGTGTATTTGGTGGGAGGGTGGGGTGAGGGGGAGAAAACAGATTTGGCCTGTTTTAACTTAAGTCTCTTAACATGTCTCAGCTGGAAGACTTTCTAACTCTAGGAAGCTGGGTTGTCCTGTTAATGGTTTGAAAGCTGTTTAACAATGCCCAGTTTTCTTGAAAATGTCTTGTGTTTATTTTGTAGCATTTTCCCCTTGAAGATACTCTACCCCTTTTTGGCCAATGTATATCTACTGTACAACTTGAATTGTCTTCATTATCTGATTGTTGCATTGTCTTACTACTTTCTGCATGGATTGATGTACGAAAAGAACACTAAAGCTGTGTGAAATCAGTCAAGGTGTTGGGTGTGAGCAGGATGCTTAATTTAATGTGAGAAAATAGATGTGAGTTTGGAGTTAAAATGTGTTTTTACTAGGCAAGAGCAGTCATTTACCTTCTTTCAATGGAAATGTAAAAATGCTGTTAACTTGTGTTGCAAATCCTTACCTTTACACTCTCCATGGCTTTTTCACTGGCTTTGCCATCTAGTCCTTCTAGTTTTGTTTTTTGAGATCTTTCTTGATCTGTCTTGTTTTTGTTACAGAATTTATAATTTAATAAAACTACATTTTATCAGTAACAATCTCAGATATGTTTCCAGTTTAATTGAACTTCACTGAAGGAATTTCAAAGAAGATTCTCATAAAAAAGCTTCCCATGTTTACCGAAAGGGATGACTAGTTCTGAGTGGCATCCTGATGTTCTTGCATCCCTGACTGGCTGTCTGTCAAAGACAACACTGTAGGACTATCGTCTTTTATTGAAAAATCATGAGCTGCAAGCTTAATACTCACACAGACATCTGAAGAGCTGATTAACTCACTTCACTGTTGATGGCAGGCAGAAGTATCACACACAGCCTTATTTTAACAGCAGAAATGTTGAAATAAAAGACTGTAAGTTATCAAAGTTGACCCTATTACAAAGGACATGGATATTAAGGATGATTGTGCTGTTCCCCTGTTCATAGCAAAACTGATGGCAGCACAGAAGGAGCAGTTTTGTGCTTGTATTAGCAGCGTGGGAGCTGCATTACTACAGACTTCTGAATGTTAAAAGCCAGATCTTGAAAAACACAGCTTGTCTTTTATCTCTCTAGCAGTTCTTCTACATTTTTTCAGATTGAGAAACAGCATTACTTGATTCTGGACTCTGTCTTTATTTTAAAGCTAATTCAACTCCTATTCTTAGTATATGTATCTCAGAATACCAAGGGACAGTAGCTGATACATAGGTACTACTGGTCTTAAGTTGCTTTAAGCAAACAACCATTTGAAAGGAATTAAAAGGGCTGACTTCTAAAATGGTAGATTTAAACTTCTATGATCTTTTTACTGTAATGATGGATGACATATCTGATCGTGGACAAGCTATGCCCCTCCTCCTCTGCCTACAGGTGAGATCAGTGGTCAGGAAAGTGCAGACAAGAGTAGGATGGAATAAGGAAGATCTCCATTCTCAGCTAGAAATAGATGCTGTTGACCACAGATTTTCACCATCTTCTTCCAGTCCCATAAAGAAATAAGCCAATTACATGGAGTTCAGAAAGGAAAATGGATGGAATGCTTTTTTTCTCTCTTAGTTGCTAGCTATCTTACTTTGATTTGAGTTAGTATACAGTGGCTCTAACCAAATTATGCCTTTGTGCTGCAAAAGCCTTCACTAAGAACATCAGCTATGTGCACACACTTCACTTAATGTGAGAAGGGGTTGAAAAAAGCAAGAAATAAAATAAAGGAACATGACTCACTATATACTTAATTTTAGGATTTGCAGCCCAAACAGTCTACAAATAATTCTATCAGTGATTATCCTTGGGGTTTTTGATCCAAGTAGAGAGTTCAGCCCCACACCCGTGATGCTGGTTTTGGCTCCTGGCTAACTGCAGCTGTGAAACACTAAAATTAAAGCAAGGCTGGTGAGGGCTTAATAGCCAACCATCAGAGCAGCAAATGCACTCCCCAGATCAAGCTAGGGAAAAGTAGTAACTGGTAATTCCCATCTTATATTTAAACCATTACTTTCAGTAGGAAATGTGTTCTCTGTTCATTTTAGCAAAGCCACACTGCATTATGTGGTTGACTGCAATTCCATGCATTAAGTGATTTTCAACTTGTACAGCATAGCCAGAGAAATGCACAGTGAAGCAGAAGGGAAAATGAAAAAGGAAATTTAAATGCTATAAAATCTACAGCATCTCAATTTCCAGAACAGATAACCCCAGATACAGGAATCCTATTTCATGGCTAAAAAAATACAAATCAGATAGGGAGCCAAGCATTCTGCAAGAACACCTTGCTTATCTAGCTTGACCATCTAGTAAATATATTTCTATCAGCAGCAAATAAGATAGAAGTATCTGTCTTGTTAAAAGTGATCTCCAGTATCCAACCTTTACAAGCTCAGTAAAGAATCCACGCTCCTATTAAACCCTTGGGTTGGCCCAGTACACAGAAGAAAAACAAGACAGACATTTCACAATGTAATAGGAAACTTAGTTTGCTGAAGAGGAAACTGGCAAATTAGCCCCTAGGAAGTACAAAAGCTGGCATGCTATTTAATTAGGAGTCTCGGACTATCAATTTTGATGTTTCTAATTTATTTTGCGCATTTAATGCATGTTTGTTTTTTCAGAAGGGGGAAAAACTGCTGAGATGAAGCTTAACATCTTTAATAATTGTAAAGAAAATAAAAACATTTATCAATTGCTGGTTAAAGGTATTTGTCACTTCTAGATGATAAAAAAGTATTCTGTGAAATAAAGCATTTAGCTTTCAAATGGGCTAAATGGGATTCCATTTCATCTCAGTCTCTCTCATCCCTGGCACTCGTAATTTAGCTGGCCTGTCATTTCTATGAAGGGCTCTGCTTACTTTTAGAAGAAGATAAACCAGAGAATATGGTATTAGACTAGTCACAAAATCCTTGATCAAAACCTGCAATGATCTTCAGAATGCCCTGTACCTACGCTTGGTATATTTATGATACCAACAAAATGGGTTTCCATAACCTTCTTTGAAACTGCTCTGAATGTGTCTTGCTGTATATTAGTTAATTATTTGTCCTGATTTCTTAGAAGCAAACATTGGCCTTTGATACAAATCACAGAGGGTGGATGGGGAAATATATTTGCTGAAATGAGAATTAAGCTCATTGTTTATAAATCAAAATGGAAAGACATCCCCCACAGGTGTACTTAGCATTCACTAACTGCCAGTACAGATCTGGTTCAAAATATGAAAGAAACCAGATTCTGTCCTTGTCCTACAATTTCTTCCATCTCAAATTTCTATAACTCAGTACACAGAATACACTTAGGAGCCTAATACACTAAAGAAAAAAAGATTCAAGGATCTTACTCAGGTTCTAAGCAATTTCCACACCAGTTTTAAAAATAATAACAGTAATGGCACTTTCATTCTTGCTAAAAGCAAAGGCATAACCAGTTGCCCTTTAAAACATTTTTTTTTTTTTTTACTCACAACAACATTATGTGCTATTGCTTCAGAAAACTCGATGAGTACAGACTGGAGCGTGCCTTGAAGGTTCAGTGATGCAGCTGTCTAGAATACCTCATGAGTCTTGAGAAACTTCATGAAAAGTAAAATAGCTTCACTACTAAACAGTCAAGTGCTGCCTGATTATACTAAAGCATTTCCACTTGGGTTTGACGTTCTTTAGGGCATGGGAAAGAATCCAGCCACACAGGAGTAACAGCTGGTCTACTGGATAAAAAGGAGCCAGGAGGAGAAAGGCACAAAACAAAACACTACTCTTCCCCATGTTCTCATTCCCGTCTCTTCTCTAACCTGAAAGGAAAAATTGAACTTTATTTTTGGGGAAGAGAGACTTGAAATCTTCCTCCATTGGTGCTTCAGATATTAAGGTGCAGGATCAACAGGGTGGAGGTAAGTTCCTTATCTTCTCTAAGGTGCCAACTCAAAAACACATCCATTTCCTCAGCACTTCTCTTGGTTGCTTCAGGCTATATTAATTGCTGTGAAAGCCATACAGTAAAACATCTCCAGCAGATCACAGAATCTGCTCAAAACTACAGAATCTTAACAGGCAATCCAAGCTTAATTCCCATCATTGATGTGTCTCCAAGTCCTCAAACATATGTAGTTACCTCATGAAAACTCAGGACTCCTGCCACACTGTAGAAATTGTAACATGGATTTCCATCCAAGATACTGCCTTCTTTTCTTAAGGGAGCTTGTTCCATGATCTTGAGCTAGTTATGCCTGGTCAGAGCAAGAATGCATGTCAGTGGCACACAGCCCAGAGCTTCCTTCTTTACATGCTCCCACAGAGTACTTAGGTCCTTGGCTCAGATCTCGGCCCCTGCTGGATTTAGACACAAGTGCATCCTAACCAACAGTACAGGAAACTCTCAGTCACAGATATGTCTGTATGGTTTTTCTCTCACAGATGTTTATTTTTACATCTCTTTAAGGCACTGTGTGTCAGTTTCTAATTTCTAAAGAGAAAACTTTCCCCACTGAGTTATTCAATTACTTGCATAGTCACTGGCATGAAACGGAGACTGAGTTCCAAATCTTCCAGTCAGCCCAAATACACCCTACCAGTAAAAATGCATTGAAGAAAGACATAGACATATCCATGCACATCTTAACAGAATGCTGAAGTACTCACATCATCCAGTCAACTAAGGACAAGCCATTTCAGGGCATGATACATCATGGCCTTCCAAGATTTCAGCTAGACTTTGTGTAAAGAACCAGGCCAGCAGCTTTGCACAGGTACAGGATATGGGAATGTGCAGATGCATGTGTGGGTAGTTGATTCCTTGAGCAGTGAGAAGACACCAAAATACATTTAAAAACCTGAATCAGTGATAGTGAATGAGTGCTAGAAGCTTCTCACTAACACAAAGGTTCTCCTATAAAAGCACCATTAAAATTACAGGATACTTGCTCAGCAATAACACAAAGAACTAACTAGAATGAAAAAATAAAAGCTATCCTTCCACTGGTAATCATCTTTTCCAAGCTGCTCTTAAAGACATTGGTCTCATGTTGGGGAACTTGTATTTTGCAGCTTTAGATGCACCTATTCCACAAATGAATAAACCTCACAACTTTCAAATAATTAATTTCCATCCTAGTTAAAAAAAAACAAAACACCAAATAAAATAATCTTCAGCCTCATTCCAAATGAATTATAGTTCTATTTTCAGTGCAGTATTTACCTTTACATAGTAATTTCACTAATCTCTATTCAGTGGATGATTAGCACAGTAGAGAATCTGCCCGGGATTTCTCTGTGGTTGCACACCAAATATGCCTGCCTGACCTAAATGGCAGGAATGTTAATGCCATTTTAAATGGACAAGTCATTAAATGATTCAGTTTAAAGGCTGCTTTACTGAAAGCTTTGTTTGCAAAAAGGTCAAGCCCATTTCTTATGCATAAACCATCATTTATGTTTTGGTCTTCTAACCAATGCCTCCAAATTGGCAGGCCCACCCCATACAGTTCCAAAAATGTCCTTCTCTGTCCTTAGGGCATCTTCCAGTGGGAGCTCTCTTCCCGCTGTCACCACCTTTTTCACAGCCCGAATCACAGCGGCCGGACCCTCTGTGTAGTGACTGAGCCAGGCCCGGGCCTCTCCCAGCGCTCTGGTTTGGTCTGAGGACGGCAGCGTCTCCTCGGAGAGCCCCAGGCTCAGAGCTCTCTCGGGGTCCACCCGGGCAGCCCCAGCCAGCAGCTGCAGGGCTGCCCCGCTGCCCACGATCCGCACCAGCCGGGCAGCTCCTCCCCAGCCTGGCACCAGACCCATGTGCTTGTGGACAAACCGAATTTCACTTCCAGGCGTCATCAACCTGTCAATGAAGAACACACAGAGGTCAATCCATGCACTGACTTTTGTTAGCAGCTCGATGGCCCTTAATTTTCTATTTTCTCCTCCCCTCTGCTTCCAAAGGCTGATACAACTTGACAGCATGCTCATTACTGCTGGAGCTGCTGTATCTTAATTTTTACATCGCATGGTGCCGTAACTGCAGCTTTTGGCCCTTCTCAAAATTAGATACATATGCTGCTACAAATGAAAATTCTTAGTGCCCATACTGATACCTCTAGTCAGTTCTAAAAAGTGTTGAAAACAGAACTGCAGACAGAGGACATGTTACATTTATTCACACTGCCTTGCTAATTCATTCCTAAACCAAGAGCGTATTGGGTGAAACCCAATCAAACTAATGTACAAAACATTTCTCAAGAGGATAGATGTGGTCCTAGTACTGAGCTGAACTGGGGAGGTTCTGTCAGCACCGTGGTGATTACAGCATGGGTGGGGCTTTTTTGTTCCATATTTTAGAGATCCATGCAAGTTTGATTTCTAATTGCTCATTACGGAGAGAGAAATCAGCATGGATGCTCAACTCATGGCTCACAATGCATAATATATTTGTTTTCTATTTATGCTTGCAATGTGTAATAGAATTGCTCCCCTCTACAAGATAAGCAACATTCCTCTTTCCAAATATGTCACATCTTTCTTTTCTAGGCTTCTTTTGTACAGCTTCTCACCTCCTTTACTTAAGACCTCATCCTAGGGCTCATTAAGCTATCTCCCTGGAGAAGCTCTGCTGCAGCAGATTGTTCTGTCTTCACACAGTGGTCACACTCACACACGTTAGGTTAGTGGAAAAAACCTCTAGAAATAGAAACACAGAAAAGATGTACAGAAAAAGACCACCACTTGCTCTTTCTCAAAAGTGATTTTCAGCAGTGTGGTTTCTTGTGGCTGATTGTAAGGCAAAGGATAGAAATTACACTTGTGGAGTAGATTAGCTTCTAGTTCATGTACTAATTGGCTTTTTGAAGACAAATCTTGTAATACTGAGGCCAGCATTACCATACCACAAGTCATGGTTTCCTAACCATGCAGTTTTCCATAGTGAGAACACTGAGGTGAGAAGCTTTGAAAGGGGAAAGAAAAGGAAAATCTTTAAAAATGCAACTACTTCTGGAACTCACTGTTCTCACATCTGTTTATTGTTAATTGTAAGTTTGCTTGGTTGCCTTATTCTTAACCAGAGCACCACCATCAGCATTCATGCCACACTGTACAGCATCAGAATTGAAGAGCTTACGCTTTATCCCAGATCCAGCACAATGCACAAAAGCAACAGCTGACGGGCCAGATTGCATGAAAGCCTTTTTGTAGAGATAGCAGGGGAAGGTTGTGTGACAAAAGGAAGAAAGCAGAGTATTGCAGGGGAGGAAAGGCTTTAACCTAACATTATCAAGTGCTTTCTAGACCCAGCAAATCCCAGGGAACTCAGGTCTCTTTTCTCAAAAGAATGATTCTGCAAGTATTCCAGAACTCCTTTACTGGCTCAGCTTACTCTGCAATTTGCTCACATCCAGTGTCTCACTGGAAAAGCAATAATGAAAATTATTAAGGGTATTATTAAGGGTTTAATTCTAGCTGTGCCAAGTGATGTGAGGCACTAGAAAAGAAAGGGTTATGGGCAGCTGGGCACCCAATGCTAGACAATCTGTAGGCAGTCTCACAGGACAGCCACCACAGGTGGAGGTCATGTTGCACTTGTATGTTGAATCTGAGATTGTTTCAGACAATGTTTAGTATGTGGGAAGGGCTCTGTTTCCCTGCAGAGTCTTCACCCCCCTCAGAGAAAATGGAACCAAACACCATGAAAGTAAACCACTGACAGCTTAACTCACAGAGAGACTGTGAGGCTGCAATTTCCAGAACCTAACTGGGATTCACCTCTTCCCAAAATGCTCCTTTGAACAAGCTCCACAGAATATACTGAGATAAGTGGTAGTCAGTGGAAGGTGTAACTGTAGTATTGGACTGTCTTCAGGCTTAAGAAAGGTATCTTTGGTTTTTCAGACATTTCAACTATGAATCCTCTCCCGAAGTCACAATTTCTTACAGAGACCACCCATCATACTCTGTGTTAGATTTATCACTCGCAGTCCCCATGCCCCAGGAAACAATGGAGACCTGAGCTCATGTCTGAAGAGGAGGAAGCAGCTGCCAAGCTAGCCTGGGATCATACTCTGAACGCCACTAGCTGCAGCCTCGCATACATATTTCCCTTTTATTGTATGAAAGGAATTGAGTCTATCTTCTGAGACATGACAGATCTGATCTCCCATTAAAAGAATTTATGTAAGAAAAGCACACCAAGAATTACTTAACATAAAGAGGCAGACAGGAAAAAGCTGGGAAGACCAAACTACTATTGCTGAACTGTTTATACCTTATTCATCTAGTACTGGCCCTGCCTGAGACAGAGTAGTAGATGAATACAAAATTAACCCTGATTTCGAAAGTATGCCTGTTCTTGACTTTCATGTTGAAGGAATTAAAATCTGGGTCCCCTGTATCACAGGGGAAGGTTGTATTGCTAGACTCCTACACATATGCCTTCCCTGCCCTAATAAAGAAAATCTGTTGCATGACAGTATTGAAAAAATATTTATTCGATATAATTAATGTACAAAGTGACAGAAGATCTTATAGTAAGCAGGGGAATGTCCTTCAGAAATGTGAAGGGTACCAAAATCCTCACAATTTAAACTGGAAATAAAGAGGTTAGTAAGGTAATATAAGCCCCAAAGTGCAGTTGAAGCCTTCTTTGAGAACCTTTTATTTCCATGTTATGAACACTATAGCCCCCTAGGAAGAAAGCACAGCCACCATGGGCCACATCCAATTTTGTGTTAGTCATCTAAAGAAAACGAGCTACAGCAAATGTTCCTGCTGTACATTTTAAAATGTTCTCAGCTGCACTAAATGTTACGAATCCTCCCCCTTTGATCTGAGGATTCCTCCATTCTGTGACATCTCATTGCACCCACAAACAACTGACTGTCACATCACACCCCATCACATCACTGGCAATGCACGTGAGAAGAAACCTTGTTTGTTATTAACACTGCAGCCTAACAAATCCCACTGTTATAAAGGCACACTTGCTCCCCAAAGGCAGCACTTGCTCTGAGCTAACAGCTATGCTTTCCTTTGCTAAAGTATTTCCCAGTTAGTTGAAGCCAGAGGATATACAATAAAAGCTAAAAATGCAAACAAAAATATACTTTCTCAATTTTTCCTACCTGCTTATTATACATACTGATGTTACTGAGCTGTTCCAATAGGCATAATTGGTTCCTTGGCAGAAGTAAGATTATATTAAGATTTGTGCTGGCCTTACCTCATAATTTCCTGGACTTCAAGGTCTGAGTTATATTTAGCATTTTGACAAGGCAAAGGTACTAATCAAGTTTACTAGGGAGGGACAGATACCACCCTCCATTTAATGCTTTTTTAAAGCTCCTAGAACTATGCTTTTGAAAGCCATTATAAGGAAAAAAGACACCTAAAATATTATATGTGTTGCCAGCAACCTGAATTTTGTTCCTATTCCCTGTTTGACTCCCAGTGTCACATAAGGACACAGCTCCTGACTTCTGTTCCTCCCCTTTTAGCTGGCCTGAGACTGGCACACCACAGAGGGAGGCAGCCAGCATCACACAGTGCTGCAGCACCTGGTTCCCAGCTATGGCTGTACCCAGACATGGCAGCCAGAACTGCAGGACATTACTTTTATCTCCCCCACAAATACTTTGGCATCTGGCTCTCAAACAACCAATATTAATATAAAAAATAAACAGAGCTTACATTTTTGGGTCACAGTAAGTTCCCTCACCAAATCCGCTACCTTCTTCTATAAATTTCAGTAACGCCTATCTGCAAGGTGATTGAACCAACACAAAGCGGAAACTTGTCCAAAAACAAGAATCAAAGGCCTTGGGGTAAAATTAAAAGACACCTATGATTTTAGCATGCTGTAGAACAAGCGTTACAGAGCTAATAATAAGTCTTCATGTAGAATTACATATTTTGCAAAACATAGATGCAGGACACCCAGACAGATAAAAAGCAATGTCTGTGGTCAGCCACACAACCACTTTGGCACAGGGAGATGGGGAGTGGGGGTTACGGTCAGCTCATCACACGTTGTTTCTGCCACCACGCAGGGAGAAGAGTCCTTGCTCTGCTCCAGTGTAGGGCCCCTCACACAGAGACAGTTCTCTGCAAACTTCTCCAGTGTGATTCATTCTTCCACAGGGTGCTGTCCTTCAAGAACAGCCTGTTCCAGTGTGGGTCCACAAGTGCTATCAGGAAACCTGCTCCAGCATGGGCCTCCCACAGGTTCACAGCCCTCTCTTGGGCATTCAGCTGCTCTGGTGTGGGTCTTCTACAGGGGCTGCAGGTAGATCTTTGCATCCCCATGGTCTTGCATAGGTTGTAGGGGCACAGCTGCCTCACCATGGTCTGCAGTGGAATCTCAGCTCTGGTACCTCAAGTACCTCCTTCCTCCTCCTCACTGACCTTGGTGTCTGCAGGGCTCTTCTCTGGCCACAGTTACAACTGCACAATAACTTTTCTCTCCTTTTTAGATATGGCAGCACAGACGCATTACTGTAATTCCTGATGGGCTCAGCCTTGGCCAGAAACATGTCCATCTTGCAGACAGCTCTACCCAACATGGGGGAAGCTTCTGGCAGCTTTTCACAGAAGTTGTACCTACCAAAACCTGCTACCAAAACCTGGCCATACAAACCTGAAACACCACCCAAACCACATGTGCAACTATTGCAGGCACAGGAAAGGAGAGCTGTTAAAGAAAAAAAGGAAACTACCAGGAACATGGTTACAGAAGGAAGGTTATCAGAAGTCAAACACTTGTTTTAACCAGCAAAGAACAGAAGATCAAAGTTGATGTACAATGCTGCCCAACATGTATGCCTTTCTAATACACTCATCAATACGGCATCAGCT